AAACAATAGAACTATTGTAGTCAACATTCCTTATTATTTCATTGGGACCCAAAACAAAAGGTGAATTTTAGAAGTCATTTATAAACCTCGTGATTGGGCTTTATCGGTGCATATAGCCGCTCGCCTTCGGCTCGCGTCTATATGCAACGATAAAGCCCTCTCACTCGGTTTATAAATAGTACATATATATATATATATATATATATATATATATATATATATATATACATATATATATATATATATATATATATATATATATATATATATATATATATATATATATATATATATATATATATATATATATATATATATATATATATATATATATATATATATATATATATGTATATATAAATGTTGCCGTTTTGTGACCCATTCTCCCATTGACGCCTACAAGAAGTGAGGGAAGATACAGCGAAAAACCAATATTACAGCGTAATATACTCCGCACACTGCAGGGGTGCTATATATTTAGAGAAATGCCACCTGCAATAATAAATATTATCAAGTATCGTATCAACAGAAAACTAAGATAGAAACGAATAAATGTAAAGCAGATGCAGTAGGTATAGGAGTAGATCAAAATGCATGGAACCCTAATAGACAATCATACAAAAATAGATAGATATGCAAGACTGCCAAATGTCACAAGCAATTATTTAATGAGATATAAATATCCTAAAATACACTCACTATAATGACTCAATTTAGCACGGCATCGGGAATAGGGAGCTTTAGATTTGACTACGAGTACGACTACGAGTACGAGATTTGATCGCGTGCGAGGAAATTACCGTAGCCGTTTTCGTTTCCATTCAAATGTTGCTTTTATAACAGTAAATCAACAACTAGAGAAAAAGTTTCTTAAACTACATCTCCTGCCGACTAAAATCCCCTACAAAACGTGTAAATAAATCATAACATTAAAAATAGGCCAGATATTTAGTACTAATATATTATTTGCGCCGGATAAACGCTATATAAATGCTACAAATTATTTTTGGAAACAAAAAAAGCCAACTTTCTTTGTTTTTTTTTGAAAAGTCGTCGTGAGGACTACGAGGTTTCTCCACAATTTCGTGCTCAGATGGGCGACGGCTACGACTTTTTAGCGTCAGTACGGGATGGCGTAAGCATACAGCATGCGTTTAGCTTGACGAATCTCGTACTCGTAGTCGTACTCGTAGTCAAATCTAAAGCTCCCTAATATCACATGATTGCAACTGAAAAGAGTTTCATCAGCGAAACCGTCAGCACAATGAAAATTATTCGGGAATACCTTGCATCACAATTCTTCCGAAATATCTAACTACGTGAAAGCAAAGTAATATATTAAATCAACGCTTTATAGTTGTTCAATTGGCAAAACATAATATTCAATAACTTTTAATTAAGTGACTTTGTAATGACCATGCGATCATGAATATTTTATTGAATCAGGAAAATTTGAATACAACATTTATTCGTTTGCACGACTTTCATGTACATAATAGTCGTACATCTGCTGAATGTTCATTGAGCGTTAGTGGATACAGTATTGAAATTGAATTTTGGTAAGTTCTTGATAGTTTAGCTTAAATTTATATGTTTGCTTTGTATTCCTAGTTACAATTGCCTAGTATTTGTCTCTAGCCTACTATATAGCAATTATATAGCTATTATACGAGTTAGTCTCGTTAAATGAAGGTTGGTCATCATCATCGTCGTCTTCATCATGATAATTATCATCATCGTCTCAATAGTTTGAACAAAAGCAAGTGCAAAACATAAAATATGCATATTGTCGCCCAGATAAACTGCTTTCCAGTTCACAGGCATATAGAAATACGGAGATATATGTTATAGTTACAAATATACGAAGCGTCTTATTATAGATTTAAAAGAATTTTCTTGCGAGATATTTTGGCCAGGTCATTTGTTTTTGTCAGTAAAATGATATATAACAATCTGGCGAATAGCCAGTATTTGTTCCGAATAGCCAGTATTTGTTTCGGAATTTTGAGTATATGATCCAAACTAGTGCGGTGTAGTTCGATGTTCATTTCTATGATAGGCTACCTCAACTTTTCTGACGGTTGTGAGCCCAATTGTTCGAAACGTCAAGAACGCCAAAACCTAGCACAATTTTTGGACTATAGAGTTATTTAGGTCGCATATAGTTCCGAATATTCACAAAAGAATGTCGGTTATGAAAAGTAATAGTAGGCCTAATAAATATTATCGAGTAAACTGGAAACTAAAACAGCAATGAATAAAAGTAAAGCACGTAGGCAGTGGTATATAGCCTAGATCTAAATGCACAAAATCTTTGCAAACCTATAAAATAGATGGGTATAGAAGACTGTCAAATGTAACAAACAATTATTTATTGGAATTAAAATATACTAAATACGTTAACACGGCATTGGGAAAGATCCGTTAAAATTGCAGCCAAGTAGAATTTCAAAATCATGAGCTCCATGAATTTGTTCGGGAATACCTTGCATCACAGTCTTTCAAAAAGATCTAGCTACCAGAATAGGAAGTAGTGTTTTACGCGAAACACTTTAGTCGTTCTTTTATTTTCAATTGCAAAAAGTATACAATCACTTTTAAGTGACTACACAGCAAAAATGAGAATTCTTACATAGAAAAAAAATTCTCGCAAAATTCTTATTTTAAGCAATATTTAGCTTACGTTAAATTTCAACTATATTTTAAATCAAGTTCCACACTTGTAGCACAGATATATTACTTTTCAATTGACCTGTCAAAATACGGAGCAGTGTGTGTTCATTTCTAAATATTTAAAGCATTTTAGATTTAAAACGCTTCCATGCATTTCAAGCTAAAAATGCTCTGACCAGAGCTTCTGTTAGGGACGCCCAGACTGAGTGTATTTATTTGGCATTTTAATGCTGGTTAGGCCTTGGTAATATTCATAAAACTAATATCATTCGTAAACGTTTCAATTAAATTGATTGGCCTTACGTGGACTGTCAGTTGCATGCCTTTCATAATTTTGTTTGGAAGTTGATTCTAAGTAGCTCCTATATTTTGTTGTATCCATGAGAAATGCTACCTGCGAATTAGAAACAACATTTTCGAACATTTAGAAATAGTTGTAAAATTTGACGCACAATGCTGGAATTTTCACAGGTGAATTCAGGTTCTCTTTGCCTGTAATTATCCATCTGATTAAAGCCCATTTTTCACTATATAGGTCCGCCCGTTTCGCGGGCACAGTAAAAAGTGGGAACCGGTCCAACTTTTTCGTGGCGAATTTTTTTCGCTGACCAATCAATTTGGCACGATTTGTTTGGTGGAAAATGAGCTTAAGGGCTTAATTTAACTCGGCATTTTGACTATAGTATATGTATATTTCTGATTATAATTAATATGATCTAAACTAGGTTAGACAGGTATACCTGTTCTTGTGGAATACACTCATGCTGTATATTAATTAGATGTTCTATATATGTACGTAATAGCTTAATCTTTCCCTTGGTGACTTAATTTACTTTCCTCACAAGAAAGGTAACATAGGCCTATATATTATCGAGTGAACTGGAAACTACTATGCAAAATGAAAAAATAAAGCAGATGCTGTAGAGAGAAGTAGAACAACATACTTGAAAATAACACGGCATCGGAAATGTCATAGGCTTAGCTATAATACAGATATACAAGACTGCCAAGTCTAACACGAAATAATTTAATGGCATTAGAATGTATCAAGATAAGTTAGAATGTATCAATAGGTGATTGCATCTATAGACTAAATTATGATCAAGGCAGGAAGAACGAAATCCAACACCACAGCTGGAAAGAGCGTCTACGAATGATGTAAAACTGCAAAGATATTGGTTGCTAAATGTTGTAAAATGAAGAAAATATAGCCCTTGAAGTTTGCAAGTTTTGTATATATTTGTATTACGCGCGGTAAAAATAACAACTTTCGGCTCAAAAATGCTTATTTTTCCCGCGCGTAATGCAAATATAGCCTAGACAAAATTTGCGAACTTCACAGGACCATATATTTTCCTCATTTTACAACAGTTAGCCACCAAACATTGCAATTTTACTCATTTGAAGATGCTTTTTGCAACTATGGATTTCGTTTTTCTTGCCCAGATCAAAATTTGGACTATTGCTGGAATCGTCCATTTAGTAGCCCCAATTTCACGCTATGTATTGGGAAAATTATAAAATTGCAGTTAAGAAGAAATACATCAGCAAAATCTTCAACTGCATTCCAAATGTTTAATTAAATATATCTTCCGAATAATTCAAACTGAGATCCATCTGCCTACCTGCATGGGAGGTAAGTACATTATGTCAGGCACTGTGTTTATTCTATTTTTGAAAAGTATAAAATAACTATTAAGTGTCTAGTAAGCTTGAATATCATATTGGGAAAAGGACAATCTAGTACAATATTTATTTGACTCTATAAGTTTCCTGCTGAAATACTGAATAGGTTGTACATTCGCCGAATGCTTGTGGAACGTGAAGAAAGATATTTATTCTGCGGCACTCCCAAAACCCAACCAAGGTTTTGTCGGTATAAGGTTAGTTATATAGGTCGTAGACTCGTAGTTCCAAACACTCGTCGGAAACGAATTTATTTCAACATATTGTTGTTAATTAAATCGGCTATACGTGGACTTTCCAGTTGGCTTTCATCATTTTCATGCGAAGGTGGCTCTAAGCAGTTGCTCTATTTTGCCTCTTGAGAAATGCCCTCTGCAAACTTAAAAACGAATATAATTGCAATTGTTGTGAAATTTGACGCCGAATGCTTCGGGAAATTTTGACATTGAATTGGTGATGAAAGTACGTAGAGCTAATGAGGAGTTAAAATGAATTATTGAATTTACAAATGTTGAAAATAATATATACTCCATGGTTTTACTGTGGAGAAACTCATGCAGCCACACGGGTCACTGGTGCCACATTTCTTAGCATGTTTGTCAATCACATTGTTACATACCCAAATTTTCGACAACGCTTTTCGAGGGGCAATTCACTCCAAAAATCCCGTACACTTCGTCAAAAAATCCGGAAAAAATCCAGAAAAAATCCATGAAATCCTCAAAATCCGTTGAATCCATCAAAATCCGAAAAATCCTTTAAAAACCACAGAAATCCTTCAAAAATCCACAGAAATCCTTCAAAATCCTCAAAAAATCCGCAAATCCACAAAAAATATATGAAGTACTTGGTGTAATTTACTCGTAAAGGTTCTTTGCCACGTTCAAAATGGCGGACAGCGAAAGCTAAACGCTTACCGTGATCGCTGATTCGCTGTCATTATATTTCGTAATTATTGGACCACTCTACATTTCCATTTATACGCTCGAGTATATGCTAAAGTTTTTTTAGCCTATTACTACCAAATATGTGTTCTTGTTACAATGACGTTATGTTGTAAAATATAATTACAAAACCAAAAGTTATTCACCATTGTTTTTTACTGTTTTTGAAAGAATAATGAACTTGTTTGAATTTTAAACAAAATGACTGCATGCCCAGCCTTCGTTAGTTTCTGAAGGCTGTGGTCCTAGTCCCAGTCCTCTGCTCGATCCTGACGTTCTGGCATAACGTTGACGTCGTACAACTTAAGGTGGCTCGATATAGTTATCACAAAAACCCTGCTCACTAAAAGTCGCGAACTCAAAACCGGGTGATCATTTTTACGCGCAGGTCGTGGAAACTGATTAACAAAATGAAAGAACTTCTAAAATGACCTGACGTGAGCAGTTGCTCGCGCCATATCACGTCATTGCGTGTGTTCTATAGTGTTTTATGTCAATTGCTGACGTCATTAGAATTTCCCATTATAGAAAAACAATGCGCTATATCTCTTTATTTTGTCTGGTGACCTATGTTCAAATTTTGCATGCTGTATTGCACCGCTAAAGACTTTCATTATACAAAAAATAAAAAAATTCTGTAATGCCAAAAACATTTTACCGAAGAATATGACATTTTCGCATTTTCCAAAAAAATGGCATTACAGAATTTTTTTATATTTTGCTAAATGTTAGCTTTTCGTCGAAGTAACATGATGCACGAAAAAAAATTGGGGGTCACCATGCTTTTTTTCCAACTATACGAGGCGATAGGCCATTTTGGAGTGAATTTCGTACACGTATGTCGTCATAGCAACGAACTATCTGTTACTAAGACTTATATAATTTGAAAGTTGAGATATCAAAATATATAAAAACCTCAATATCTGCTGAATAAATCCTAAAAATGCGTAGTTTGAACATGTCAAAGTGTTGAACACCTGAATTTTTGAAAACTGTATCGAGCCACCTTAAGATTATTAGACGGTTTTAGATAAGAAGACGTGGACGTCAAGAGGACGTGGATGTCGTCATTTGGCGCCAACTATCGTCAGCTTCTAGTTTGCGACGTCGTCTTGGACGATTTCACGACGCGAAAATACAATTTTCACGTCCTCTCTAGAACGTCACAGATTTTTGCTTCTTTTGAAAAAAATATGAGACTATGCATAATAAAAATCATCCTATTTTGTTCCCCATGTATAGTTTAATGATACTAGCTAAAGTTTTTCCATTGACAAGGTTGTTTTTCCTGTATTTCGCTAAATTTTAGACGACGGTTGATTTTCGACAAATACTTTCGGTCGCCATAAACAAATCAACAAAACTGCAAGCATTGTTAATAACCACTTCAATACCGCTAGTAATCTTCACCAAAACAAATATTTTAGAACAAACTAAACTGAAGTTATATTAACAACTGTTTAAAATCAGGAAAACGTGTGAAAATAGAAAAATAAAAGCACTTAAAAGCAGTAAAAACTCAATCAATTTTAGTTGCTCTGTCACAACAGTGCAAAAAGTAGGACAAGCAAAAAAACGCTTTCCAGCGTGAAAAACTATCGTAAACAGTATTAAATTTTACCAATATAAACACTGATGCTATATTTATACTGAACAGTTGACAAACTTGATTGAATAGGCTACAATTAGCTCGTAAACAATACCTGCAGCTGTTGTATTTATTCCAAATGATGCAACAAAGTTCACTTTTCAAAATATCAAAAAATAACTTTTTTCTAAAAAAAACTTATTGAATGTCCATACTAATTCATCAGGAAACACTTGCCCAGTATTATATAGCCTTTTCTTGCACATATCTTGACAACTGATTGAAAACAATACAGGAATGAACAGGTATTCAAGAAAACAAAAATTTGCTTCGAAAAAGACAAACAAGCCGTCCCAGATTAAAACCCGGAAGTGAACGCGAGGTGCATACGTCATTTTCACGTCCTCTTGACGTCCGCGTCTTGTTATCTAAAAGCGTCTATTTGTTCAAAACGTTACCTAGCTCTATAACTCTATAATTAAAAAAAAGTCCAGAAAAAATCCGAACAAATCCGGAAAATCCAAACAAATCCGGAAAATCCAACAGATTTTCAAAAATCCAGAAAAAATCCGAACAAATCCGGAAAATCCGAACAAATCCCGAAAATCCAGCAAATTTTCTCTTTAAAAATCCGCTAAAAAATCCGGGAAAAATCCGCTAAATCCGCTAAAAAATCCGCGGATTTTAAAAAATCCGAAAATCCCGTACGCGTTTTTGGAGTGAAATGCCCCTCGACGCTTTTAGCGTAGTAAGTAGCTGATTGGTGTTACAGTGTAATGAGAACTATAATGAGTTATAATAAACATCATGTACAGTATAATGCGGATACACAACCTTGTTTAGCCAACAACCATAGTTAATTAACAAACAATTTTTCACTGCATACCAGGAGCATATAGGCATATAACTTAATTGTGAGTTTGCTAGGGCACATTTTGCTCATTTGTTAGTTTGATTTCAATCGTTATACTAGTAAAATCCAATTCATACATGTCCAATACTAACGCAAATGTCCAATGGACATATGATATGTCCATTGGACATATGACTGTCCATTGGATCCAATGGACAACTCAAATGTCCATTGGACATGTGCATTTCCAATGGACATATCGAATGTCCATTGGATATTCGAGTGTCAATTGGATCCAATTATGGACTAAACCGGACTTTGTAACCACCGGGAAAGGGCATCCTGGATATACTGAATGAGTATAATGTCCAATGGTCCATTGGATCCAATGGACATTTGAAATGTCCAATGGACATATGAAATGTCCATTGGACATTTGACGACCAAGGAATGTCCATCAATTGATTATATATAGCTACTTCTCAATGCTTCCTTGTATATTATATTATATTGAAACTGACTGTTATATCATGTTGCTTTGTTCCTAAGAAAGCACGCAATATATCAATATAGCCTAATATGTTGTTGCTTCGTCCTTAAGGAACGACGCAGTATATCAATATATTATGTTGCTTTGTTCTTAAGAAAGCACGTAATATATCAATATAATATGTTGTTGCTTCGTTCTTAAGGAACGACGCAATATATCAATATAATATGTTGCTTTGTTCCTAAGAAAGCACGCAATATATCAACATAATATGTTATTGCTTCGTTCTTAAGGAACGACGTAATATATCAATATATTATGTTGCTTTGTTCCTAAGAAAGCACGCAATATATCAACATAATATGTTGTTGCTTCGTTCTTAAGGAACGACGCAATATATCAATATATTATGTTGCTTTGTTCCTAACAAACCACGCCATATATCAATTTAATATGTTGCTGCGTCGTTCTTAAGGAACGACGCAATATATCAATATATTATGTTGCTTTGTTCCTAAGAAAGCACGCAATATATCAACATAATATGTTGTTGCTTCGTTCTTAAGAAACCACGCAATATATCAAATGAAAATATTATATTCCCTTAAATTAACTCGATAAGTAATGACATTACATGGCAAACACGCAAAATAAAGCCATTTCAACGGTTTCAATTGTTTTTGAAAATTCAGCCCAGGACTGGAATTTTGGTCTCTGTTTTAATAGGATTTTTTGGGCTCTGTTTTAATAGGATTTTATCCTTAGGACTTTATCCAAATCCGCTAGCGAATATAGACCGGGGAATCCATATCCTCTAGTGAATATGGACCAATGGGCGTCTTTATTCGCTAGCGGATTTGGACTCCCCTCGCGAATTTGGACTCCTCGCGTATTTTGTAATTGCAACGTATCGTATTTTGAATATTGTACTGAAAGCGTTTAAATCGTCATAAATCTCATCTGATTTATTTTAAAAACCATACGAAGATTTTTAGACGATCAAATCTTAGATTTTTAGATTGGAGAATTTCGTCAGAGTTTATGACTTTTAATTTTTGGGTACATGGGTTTATTTCTATGATCTTGGAATGTGCGAAAACTGAGAAGCGCATGAAGCCTTCACAAGTTATTTACTCCTTGGAATTGCTATCTGCTCAGAGTCTTAATGCTAGTTTCCACTCAGTAAAATTATCCGTGGATTGGAACGGACAAGAACATCTTACTTTGTGTTAAAGTCATTAGTTCGAACCCACAGCTCACAAGACAAAGAAACATTTTCTTGTCCGTTCAAATCCACGCATAATTTTCCTGAGTGGAAACTAGCCTTTAAGTGCTCAAATAAAAACGGAAAATGAAAATATACCTGGGGGTCCCTATCCGCGGGGAGTCCAAATCCGCTGTGACACCGGGAAACCTGGATGAAACACAGCCCGGGCTTAAAACTCTCCATGTAATCAGCCCCTTTCAAAATCACATTGTCCACTATTTTATTAAAACTTATGGAAATTAAGCGTTACACGTTTACGCTTATGTCATATTTGTTTCTTTCTACATTTCGTGCAAAAAAAGATCAATCGTATTCGCTAATTCTTTCTGCTTGCATAAAGTCAGGGCGAAGGGAGAGAGGGCGTAGAAACGGCCATACATCGAGCGGACCCATCCGTGATGCGGGTTTCGCGGGGGGTAAGACGTTCTAATTGTAAACAAATATGGCTACGCGTATATGACCCATCAGAAGGTATGCTGAAACTATTGCTTTATAAAATATTACTTGCGTAAAATTTATATGTTTTTGTTACTTTTAGCTATTATAAGAAACTTAAAGATAAGATTTAAAGGAGCTGTGTCGTCTACTGCGGATACGTTTTGCGCATATAGCAATTTTGAAAACTACAGGCTGTAGTTTTCAAAGTTAACGTATCCAAGATGGCGGCTACTGGGGAGCTAGCGCGTGGCGGGAGACGCGAGAATTCAGGACGAAAAAGGAAATACGATGGTTCGGTATCATCGCAAAAGGGCTGGAACAGTCAACACAGGCGAATATACCTTTCGTTGAAAATATTCGAGGCATGGAGAGATGCGAAAACAGAGGCTGGATATGAAGCATCTAGCGATTGCGACTTCGCTTGCCATTTGTTGTCATTGGAATATCGCAGAAGGTAAGGATATCATATTTCGTATTTTCGTTTGCCAATACATATTGTATAATAAACAGCTGAACTTATATTTTATTCCAATATCTAAGGGAGCAACAACCTAGACAACATCACAAGGGAACTGAGACTGCAACGACAAATATAAGTGAATCAGACCAGCAGGAACTCGCCGAAGGTAAACTCAAACGAAGCTTTAAATTACTATAT